CGCCATAACTCGACACATCCTCCTCTTGAGTTCCCGCCACCGTGGTCAGCGTGGCGGTAGCCTGGGACATATGGTGAGTGACCTGCTGTACAGCTTGCGCCGACGCGTTGGTCATCATTCGCTGCATCTCTTCCCTCGTCATCGTCAACATTTGCTGTGCAGGAAGTGCCACAACTCTTTCTTGCTGACCTCCAGTGGGTGGCACCACCGCTTGCACTTCTACTCCTCCTTGTTGCGCCACTCCTGGATTCGCCTGCGATGGCGAGAACATCGCCACTGGAGTTGGACCACGAGCCTCCTGATCTCTGATCGTGTCCTTCCCTCCACCTGGTATCATCGCACTTTGGGGGGCCGACGTTGGGGTCACCGGCGTTTCTAGCAGCACAGAGAAGCCAGGTGGAGGACCTGCTCCCATTGGTCTGGTCGTCGTCCACGCATCATCGAACGACGACTGCAAATTCATACGAGGAATTCCGTTCGCCATAGCTAAACACTCAACACAACTTTTCGAACAGAAGTCCCACAGATGGCGCAAATAATACATGTCTCACACCCCGACCGGCAGGAAACCGCCTCAAGCTCGCTCTCCTTGCCGGTAGAACGCAGAACTTGCACGTAACTCTCACACCGGAGGTGTTTTCCGGTGAAGAACCTCCAACGCTCAAGTCAGATCTTGAGAAAGATGAGAATATATGTGTACGTATGTAAGAGTATGAAAAATTCATCCCTAAAATGAGAGTTCTTGCCCCTATTTATAGGGGCGAGTTACCTGTTCTACACGCGCGACTTAGGCGAGTCCGGATGACAACCCTTCTGCTCGTCCGTACGGTTGCGCGCCTCCACTACCTTTTGGTGTCAGAAAACGCGTCAGACGCGTCAGAGAATGTCAGAGTTAGTTATCACTGTGGACCACTTATTACACGCCGTGTGTACTCCTTTCACGTGCTAGAGATTCTCCCGTATATTCCGATGTTCGACCAAGTCTGGCGTGGAGGCTGATTTGTTCATAGAATGTGAAGTGGTCGACCGCACGAACGCCTCTGTTCGACCATTTCTTTCATTGGCCAGAGCCTAGTGAAGTGGGTACTCGATCGATGCTACTGAACTCGCACATACTTACCCTCGACTTCTGACCTTTATTGTGAGTGTCTGCCTCGACCAAGGTATTAACCCTTTTAATCCGGTTGATCCAACAAACCGGTCCAGTATACAATATCCCATATCACATATGTATTGGAATTTTCAGAGATAATCGTGAAAACATAAAAACCCATTTTTCTTAGAAAACATTTCAAAGAAATGAAAGCCGATTGAAGTTTTATGGAAGGTTGATTGAAGATGACGAACTCAATGCGGACTAGGGCGAAATATTATTGGTCCCTAGTTACGCTAATTTTCTATATTTTTTTTTTCTTTTTACCTCTGTTGGTTTTTAATTTTATTTATTTATTTAGAGAATGACGAACTCTTTTTTTTTTTCTTTGGGAGGGGAGGCACTGTGCTCCAAAGATCCTAGTTGTGATAAGATTACAATGGCATTATGGTGTGGTGGTTCATTTGAGCCAAAACATTATACTAAGTATAGTGGAGGGTCTAAATGATATTTAACTTTGTCAATTTCAGGACCATGTTTGAGTCGACATTAAAAATAATTTTTCACAAATTCAGTGTTGTTAATAATATGAGGTATTTTATAATGTCTCACAAATTCAGTGTCGTTCAAGTCTTTTGTGTCCCGTATATGGTTGATCGTTCATTCATCGTTGTTATAATTTATATTTGGCCGTCCATCGTCGTTCCTTTATCATCGCTCGTCGTATCGTTGGATATTCGTCGATCACGTAAGTTTTTTTTTTAGCTCGGTTCGATTAGTTGGACAACTTCGTATTTATAAATTCAATAAGTCGTTTAAATCTTATTCTTCTCGTCAATCGTTGATCATTCTTCCTCCGTCATTTTAATTTATTTTAATTCGTCATTTAATCGTTCGCCCGTCGCCGTTCGATTTATGCATCTCATCGAATCAATCGAGTATTCGTCGTTCAATCGCGTAGAATTATCTTTCTAGTCTTTTTCAATCTTTTCTCAAATTTTGGACTTGGACCATTTTTGGCTTAATGTTTCGGCCCTTTGAACTTTATTCTCGGCCGAAATTGCTTGTGTAAATCGGCTCTCATGCATAGACTTTTGGCTCTCATGCACGTCAGTGACCTGTTGCGCCCAACGCGCGACTTGCATACCAGCTTCAGATGCCAACGAGTCCTGCAGTGCCCGATGCTCGCGCCAACGAACTCGCAGCGCCCGCCGCGCATGCACCCGGACATCGCCCTACGACGATGATCCTCGGTGGCCCGATCGCGACTCGACTACATCCTGGTGACCCATGATCAACCAAGGAGGCCTAGTCTGGCTGCCCAACGGACTCTGCGGTTCAGACGATCTCCTATAGAGTAAATCTACAACGTCTTGGAGTCAGAAAAATTATAAAAGTTAAAGTCATAATCCTAACTATAGATTTCGCTGCGTTATGAGTTAATTCGTTAGATTCGGATGTGCATATCGACGACGTTTATAATAGAACCCAACAATATCATCCTTGCGCATAGGTCATGCTGATGTTATCTGTATCTGTACAATTTTATTGGATGCCTCCGAAGGGACTGATAGTATCTTGGTGAGTTGAACTTCATTTAAAGTATGGAGAAATGGGTAAGTCACTGAAGATAAGTTTCCCAAGATTGATATTGCAAGTGACATGAGTTAAAATTTAAGTTAGAGTTTTATTGCATGTTTTAGAAAATATTTTTGTAGTGCCCTCTTTTAATTAGTGTATTTCGAATAATTATTAAACTTTAAGGCACCTTGTAGGAAATTAAAATTGTATAATATATGAGAAGTGGGGAAGATAACCCTTTGTTCTGCCTTTATAGAGCTCTTACGTGGTTTTAGTGACTAACGAATGTTTCGTCCCAAAAATAAAAATCCACCAACAGTCGGATTGCTAAATCATGTTGATCATATTGATGTCGTTGATCTTCAATGAAATTATACACATTGGCAAAATTTGAATTTATTTTTATTATTATTATTATTATTATTATTATTATTATTATTATTATTATTTTTATTTTTATTTTTTTTTTGGCCAAAAACCAGTTTCTAACCAGTAATTAAATCCACGGTTTGGCAGATTGAATTTTAGGTAATTGAAACCACCCATTTCCCTCCCAAAAAATTACCAGTTAAGTATTTTTTTTTTTTTAACAACCAAGGGCAACAACTTATTACGATGTAACTATTTTACAGAACAGTCAAATTGCCAACCTGCAATTCCAATAATGCTAACTGGACCATTGAACAACATTTCAAACAGTTCGATGATGGTTCGGTTGAATGTACCTAGAAAATGTATTGGTGTGAGCCGCGCTCAATTTAAGTATTCGTGGTTTTCCCAAAACCAAAATAAATGATAAAATAATTAATTTCCATTTAAAAATTTTATATTTAATAGCTGAAAACATAGGGAGATGCTACGGTCCCATTACGGAACTATTCTGTCGGAGTTTGTACCGTTAGATCAACTATCTCTAACGGTTATATGATGATCTAACGGTTACAAACTCAAACAAAATGGTTCCGCAACGAGACCATAGCATTTTTCTAATACATAATTGGTTGCCACGAATAGTTTCGCACATCACAGTAACACACTTTGGGAAAGAAAGCAACCGTATTAAGAACAAAGTTCTATGTTCATTTAACATTATTTTTCGTGTAAGATATAGCACTTGAACTAAACATTGCAATTTTTGCAACTGCACCTATTTTACGCATCCTCAATGCAGAAAAACAAAAAAAAAAAAGAAAAAAAAAAACTCTTTTACTTACGGATGCACCATAGACGTGAGAAATCTGTCATATTCTGGTTTTCCTATCTGGCCGCCAAAAATTTTTCTTACCAACAAGAAACTGATCTTGATGTATGCTTACTGACCAATGAAGAGATTTAAGAATTGGCGTAATCCTGTTAAGTATTTCGATGGTGTCTTGAACTACCAAATACCCACCCGGTCTCAGTATGCGATCCATCTCTGCAGCTACTTCAATTATATCACATCTGATAATAATTGCACGAGCACGTAAGTTAAAAGTTCCTACAATTATAAATCTGGAAGTTCTACTTTACGAACAACTTTCCAGGAAATATTATGAGTAGCTAACTCCTAACTACAAGAGATGATCACAAATACTAGCTTTAAAATTTGGCCTAACTATGAAAGAAGTCCTTTATCAAATTCTGAAATTACAAAGATCAGTTGAAGCATCCCCTGGTAGCTTAGATATGTTTTACAAATTATTTGAAACAGAAACAAAGACTATGCTATATTTGTTGTTATGAAAGGAAGAACATATATTTTTCCTCAAGTTTTCCTTAATCAGGCTAAAGCATAATGATAGCAACATAGAGTAATAACGGGGTAAAGGTTAAAATTGGAGAACACGAATTGAACACATCTAAAAGTTTAAAATATTTAGGATTCATTCGGTAAGATAATGACAATATAGATAAGCATGTAACATATAGGAATTCAATCGAGATGGAAGAAGTTAAGGAGCTGTTTGTCGATACATTGTGATAAAAAAGTACCAGTGAGTTTAAAGGCAAGTTCTATTGAACGGCCATTCGACTTACGATGCTTTATAGATCCGAGTGTTTGGCTACTAAGTATGAAAATGATAAAAAAATGCGAGTGAGAGAGATGAAAATGTTGAGATGGATGTGTGGCATCTAGATTAGATAAGATTAGAAATAAAATTGGGGTGGCACCCATAGAGGAGAAAATGAGAGAATCACAATTAAGATGGTTTGGGCATGTGCGTAGGAGAGACTTCGAGGCCCCGATGAAAAGTGTAAGAAAATTAGAATCAAGAACCCACATTAGAAGGAGGAGGGTAGACGTAAAACAAATTGGAATGAGACAACAAAAAATGATTTAAAAACATTTAAATTTGAATGACGATATGTGCTTTGACATGCAATCCATATAGCCGACCCCACTTAGTGGGATTTTAAGTGCTTGTTGATTGATTGATTGATTTCCTTAACTAGGCTAAAGCAAAATGATACATTTTCTAGTACTGAACTCTGAAGCATATTATAACAAAGCATCTCAAGTGGTACCTCTTAGTCAAGTTTGCAAAGAGGAAGCTGGAGTGCAAAAGATCATATGTTCTTGGGTATGTATTGAAAGATTCACACCAGTCGTGGTAAACTCCAATTAGCCCTCTATCGAAGATGACTGACAAAGTATCTGGTTCGTGAATGGGAACAACATTCATCACCCAAACCGGTTGACTGGTGAGTGCGGCAGCAAACCTGCAATTTAAAAAAAAAAAAATACAAATACAAATAATAATAATAATAATAATAATAATAATAATAATAATAATAATAATAATAATAATAATAATAATTGAAAATCAGATTGAAGGAAAACAATAACTAAAACAAGGAATCTTTTTCAAGAACCTTCATCTTACCCTCCATAAATTGCATTCATATCCATAACATTTCTCACATTTGACCAATTAAGATCAAGGCCCCCAACATAAACTTCTGATACAAGGGCAGACCAATGTCTTGTGTCACTTTTGAAGGTTTCCTCAGAATCTGGTTCACCGGAGATGCTCGGAGGTTTATCAATGAGCCTTTCAGGCCAGGGTGCTGGCCACTTGCGAAAATCATCTAAAATCGGCACAAGGCAACTGTCGAGAGGCACATACCTATAACAAACAAACGATTAGGGATGTCATAAACATTACTAGATAATAGAAAAAGGGTAACATTACGAATAGTTACCAAAGAATATGCACAAATATTTCACCTTTTCACATTTGTAATTCTCGAAAATAACTCCTCACAATTCTATACTCTAGATTTGTGTTATTTATTTGTACTTTTCTTTGAAATCAATACTCAAACTGTCACTACTTTTATAAATAGCATCAGGGTATTTTCTGTCGCACAATTAGTTACTCTTACTATCAATGTTTTCTGAAAAAATGGCTTCCATTACATCACAAAAATGCCATCTGCTGTTCTGGGATGAACAAAATTGTTAAGAGTTTAAAAGCAGATATTTGAAGTTTGAGCGAGATCTGTTGACAAACTTTCTTTTCTGGTAACTATAAGTTTCAAAATACACGTTTTGTTTGTTTACAAATTACACTCATCAACTTGAACAACAGAAATGTCAAGGTGCTGGGGGCATTCTAAAAATTAACAGGGTAACAAAGGCAAATCTCAAATATAGCATGTTATCTTTATTGAACGGACAATGGGCAACAAATTTAGACAAAAAGTACCACGAATTGTTGGGCTTACTGGCCCCATCACACAGAGGGGGCCTGTTTTGTTTTCGATTCTGGTAACAGGACGATGATACGGGCTTTTGGAATATGACAACCCCAACTTGGGAAGCCTCGACAAAGGTCTTAGCGGCTATAGTCCAGCAAATTGATTCCGACAGAGCTACCATAGCTGCAAGAATGAGAATTTTAATCCATCTAAAATGATTAACCCAGTTTAACGAGGACTATTTTCAGGCGGTTTGTCCTAGAAATTAAGAACAATTACAAAAAACCAGCTCATGTTAGCTTTCACAATCACAAATTTGCTAGTGAGTAAATCAGTTTAAAAAATACCCCTCAATAAGTCATTTTTAAATGGAAAAATACTAAAAACTTGGTAATTGTCATTTTGAGGGATAAATGTCTTTCTTCTTCCCCTTTTTTTTTTCCTTTTACGTAAGCCAAATCTCAAGAATGGCGGCATTTCTAACTATCCCCAGAACATATTGCTGAGGAATCAGGACAGATATATAATTAATCACTAACATTTCCAGACATTTTGATGCTTTTCGTCCTTCCTATAGACAGGTGTGGCCGACCACACAAAATATCCTCCCGGTCTAAGGATTCTGTTCAGTTCCATCAGAGGTTTTCCACCTGCAATTTCCAATTATTAACCACATCAGACACCTTTAGTAAAAGATAAAAGCTCAACGTATAACGAGCATTCAAAGATTTATGTCTTTTGGCTTAATACATAAACTATTTTTGTTCAGAAATGCAACATGCATGTTGGGATTATTAGTTCCTGTAGTTGACATTACATATCCAATAAAATTTTCAAAAACAAGACGAAAAAAAGGCAATAAAAGGCAGCCAAATCTCAGGATGGAAATATCTTTTCCCCAAATAGATTAAAAAATTGAAATTGTTTAAAAAGGGAGTACTACCATCCCCATCCCAGTGAACTCGGCACCTTGCGCAATGAATCAAATCGTAAGAATTATCGGGAAATGTCAGCTTTTGTGTTCCAATGACTGAGAGCACAGCCGGGATTCCACGTTCAAGAGCAAACTGAATTTGAGCCTCGTGCTCGTCCTTTGGAGCAAAAGACATAGTAATGACATCTTTGTCCAGTAAAGCACCACCAAAGCTAGCAACACCACAGCCAACGTCTAAAACCACCCTTATTTTCTTCCCCCATTCAATCACTGGTAACATCTGAAATACATAAAACAGTACAGTATTATGATAACAAATTTTCTATCAGAAAACTACAAATATTGGCCTATGTACTTGCATCTTACCCATATCAACTCTAAAGACAAAACTGCAGTAACAGATGAACCTATAAGTAGAATGGCATAGCCGTATAACATTTATAACACAATTCATGGCCCCGAAATGAAAGCTTCTATAATGAGTTCTTGTATTTTCTTTCACCAACCATGGGTAGGATAGTGAAAGAATGTTGGGAACAGAAAATGAACTTGCAAAGAACACAGGATAGTTATGTTACCTTCCCAATAGACTCAATGTAATAATTGACTCCATTTTTGAATTGTGTGCCACCACCTGGGAAAACAAAATAATCGTCTGATTTCACTACCCAACGCTGGTCCTTTTTATATTCGACAAGCTTAGGATGTGGTACATTGTCATACCATATCTGACAATGAGAGAGAGAGAGAGAGAGAGAGAGAGAGAGAGAGAGAGAGAGAGAGAGAGA